CTTGATTTGTATTTTACTTTATATTATTATACTTTTATCATAATAAAGATTATGTGGAACTACCGCACTTTAAAAAATAAAAAAAAAAAAATATTTAATATAAATAACAATATAATAAACAATTATTAATTTATTTAATCAACTTTGTTATTTCTAATTTAATGATAATAAATTATTTAAGAAAAATGATTGGTTGACCTAAATTTTTATCAGATTAGGTAGATCAGGTTGACCTGTTGACCTAATCTGACATTAACCTAAAAATTTATTGATCTGATCTGAATTTTCAGATCAGTTCAGGTCAGGTAAACAGATCAACCTGATCTGATTCAGAGCTCTAGTCTTGGTTATATTGTCTTTTTATATGAATATATGTTAATTTAATTTAGTAATAGTTAACATGAATTATCCTTATAAAAAAATATTGCAAAATGAAGTATGAATAAATATAGTATTGTAAAATAATAAGTCTATGCAGTTATCTCAATTTTATGCTGTTCACATTTAATAAAGTAAGATCTAGCTTTATATCTATCTTCTATACTTTCTTTATTATTATAATCTAATTTGCATAATGAGCATGATGTCTCATCGGTAATATCATAATAATTGAAATTTTCACTATTAAATTCTCTATATAAATTTAATATTAATTCAATATCTTATTGCGAAAATAAATACAGTCACAAGTTGGATTATTCCTATTTACTTAATGTATGATTGATAAAATCATTTCTGATAAAGCATTTATCTTGATTTTTTTTTCATTAGATGAAGATTAACACTTAATGTAATAAGAACCCTTTATGTATTAGCCAACTACTTTTCCTTTATTATACTCTTTTTCACATCTAGAATATAAGCCCAAATTCTTAAATTTATATACATCATTATATCTGTCACTATTATGTAAGAATAGGTAGGGATATTCTTTTAAAGTCACATTAATATAGGGAATACAAATATCATATGAAATGATTGATGAATTATCTAACTGATTTTAGAGGAATCATCTGAAGAATTAGAGTTATAAGATAAAAAAATAGGTGTAGTTGATACACTTTTCTTAGCTAAACCTAAGATATCTAATGCATTTATTTGATTATTTTTTGGATTCTGATGATCACCAATGATTACTTTAGAAAACACATAGTCTATAATATTTTGGATTTGAGTATTGTTAAAGCTTGAGATTACATTTGTACTATAGGTAACTTATTTAATCTTTTTCATGCCTATCACATTAAATAGTTTATATAATTTTCTTGCCCTAGATAATTGCTAATATAGATTAATATTACTAATATCTAACAGTAGTTTTTTAACTTCTTGATATACTTATTGTTTCGCAGTATTGATTTTAATTTTGTTGATAGTATGAATTTCATTAATTCTTCTGTCATAACTTTCTACAAAACTATACTAGTGTAAAATCTTCTCATAATGAGAATAAACAGCTTTTTGAAATATATAGACTATAGACTCTTCTGTAACTAAAAATTGCTATTTTTTATTGATTACTGGTAGGGTGAGTGAAATTTCTATATCTATACTAGTAGATGGGACAGATAATTATTGCATCAAGTTATATTCTACTTTCTACTTAGAAGGAACAGTAGAATCATTATCTCCAGATGAATCCTTCTGAAGGATATGTTACAATCCAAGCAGTTATCCTTTTTAGATTTGTCAAATTTTGATCATGAAAATTATAAATTTTATTCACAAAATTTTCAGAAAGTTCTGATTTTTCCAAAGTTCTCCTATTTTCTGAGGAAACAGTTTTTGTGTTACTTTTGATTTTATCATTTCTTAAAGAAGTTTCTATAACAAGCAATAAGTTAGAAGGAATAGTTGACTCATGTTGAATTCCCTTCTCCTTATTCCTCTGCCTTATCTTATTACTAACCCTTTTCTTATCAATATCATCCAAGAAAGCATCTGTCTTCTCATTCTCTAATGACTTCTAATAACTCATAAGTAAAGATGGCCAAAAGGTAATTTGCTTGACATTGTTATGCTGATCTATAATAAAGCTAAGTATATTAACAACTTTCTCAGAAGAAATATCTTAAGTTTGCTGTTTGATCTCCTCGTTATTATCTATTAGTTTTACTACTTCGCTTTAGCTCAGCAAATTCAACATCACGTCTAACATTCTTGACTGAAGAATCTGCCTTTTTTTTCTTCAACTTCTTGATTCTGGTCTTAAGTTTGGCATTCTCAACATCGTGTTTCTTACTCTTTTTCACAGCCTATCTTAGAAGCTCAGCAATCCTAACCTTAAGCTCAACTTTCTCAGACTCAATCTCAGTAAACTTCCTTTTAAGATCAAGGATCTCAGCATTCTTATCCTTAAGCTCAGCATTCTCCTTTTTAAGTTCAGAAATTTTAGCATTCTTCTTTCTAAGCTTGGCAATCTCAGCTAAGAGTTTGGAATTTAATTCTCTCAATGAAACAATGGATTGCATGTTCAATAATAATTTTTTATAAAATTCAAAAGTTCGTTAGTATAGATAAAAAGAACTGTGATAAAATGTCATGATCATAATTACTGATTTATTAATATAAAAAATAAATTATAAGATTTAGTAATACATAAACTTATTTTACAAATTGAAATAAAGTTTCTATGCTAATGCCTGCATTTTTCGCTTGCCTAAACTACTAATACATATTATCTTACTCCAATTATTGATAAAACAAAAATGTATAGTAAAGCTCTGCCAAAATTTATGTTGTTTGTATTCTGTGAAATTACATTTACTTGAAAGTTCTGAAGTCATTTTCTTATAAATTCACACTGAAAAGAAGTATATTTTACTTAAATAATTATTCGTCAACGCTTCTTTTAAACGCTTCTTTCAAACTATAATACTTCAGTTTCTTTTAAATGAGTTCAGACTCAAAGAAAATAATACAACAGTATAGTAAGAAAAAATTAATAGTACTGCGCATTTATTTTTTCAAAATGCTAAAATTAATTGTGAAGATCATATTATGCAATCTGAGGTTTAGGACGTACAAAACCTATTTTTAGCTAGAATATGCATAAGCTTGATAAGTTTTCGTATGTATCGTATTTTTTTTTGAAATATACTGAGATATTATGTAAACAAAAAACTGTTATTTATATACAAAATGAATAGAACGAAAAACCTGTTAAATAGTCTTCTAGATAGTTCTTCAATAAGGTCTTTATTTGAATTTACTGAAAAATCTGTTTTAAATCCTGTTTTAACTCTCAATTTTTGTGTTTGCAAGTATACCACCAGTGTTATAGCATTCTGTTTTATAGTGGGTACCAAAATTGAGAGTGTTATTGTAGTTAAAAGTAAAGCAGGAATGAGCATTGCAGAACTTAAGAATGCAATCTACAAAATGAAAAAGAAGTATTTTGAAAAATAAGAATATAATCTCAGCGATTTGCAACTATGGAAGATAAACATTCCTGATGATGCAAAAAATAATAAATTCATTAAACTGAGAATATTTGAAAGCGGATTTCATAATGAAGATACTATTATACAAGAGCTTGAAGGACAAAAGTTGATTATATTTAAGGATTTTAGTAACATTTTTAATAGTAGCTTGAAGAATATCTGCATTCTCATGCAATAACTACCACCTGCCACCACTGGTAAGTATTTTTCAATGGTTTGCCTAATGCTAATTTTGTACTGGCTCAAAACTGTCTTTCTCGTATAGGTCTTAAATAGCCAATTTCTAATTAAAATATGAGATCTCGTAAACTTATAAGGACTGATGGTCTCGTGGATGTATTAGAAAATTTTTGTGTTCTATTTGAGGAGCTGGATTCAACCTGTATCCTGGGGGATGCCATAACACAAAATTTGTGCGTATTCTTAGTAGGACATTTTCAATCAGAAAAAACATCTGTATTATATTATTTAAGTAATACCAAAACAAATTATTTTTATGTACATTCTTCAAAATTATTGGATGGATTCCTGTCTAGGTTATGCAAACTGCTTTCCTTGAATTAGTGTTTTAACTATGCCAGTTTTTGTGATATACTTAAGAATAAATACAAGGAGAAAATAGTAATTCTGATTGATAAATTTGATTGATTCTTATTTAATAGCAAGAAAAATAAAAATCTTGAATGTATGATTGATGAAATTAGAGAACTTACCAAACTCATAAGTAATAAGTCAATTGGAATTAAGTCTATCATTTACACTGGCACTTACTCAATTGTTGCCATGCTAAAAGATGGCATTTCACAAATTAGAAAGGTCATTGAATTAGCATCATAGGAGAGTATTGATAGTTTATCAGGTGATGACAGTTTATTTGGAAAGAAAGCAAAAGTGAAAGTTTATCACATGCTAGTAAACTTTTAGAACCTGAACCAATTTCATCTCCATTAAACTTTGCTAAAATAATACAGGCATCTGATTTCACTAGAGAACAGCATATGTTATTTTTCAAAGATATCCAAGAAGATAGAGATATTAGGATAAACGAAGATGTCCTAAATGATATTTATAATATTACTAATAGTTACTCTAGCTTAAAAAAACTTTTGGTATCATTATACATAGAATATTCTGTCAACGAAAAATTTCTTGAATTTGACAAGTAGAATGAATATTTTATGAAATTTAGACGCAATCTAACAAACTATCAGATTAAGACGATTAATCATATAGAAAAACACCATTCTGATCATAATAATAAAGTAAAAATTAAACATTTTTATAAAATTATGTAGTTATTAATCTAGGATTATTACAAAATAATTAGGTAATCATTACTTTAATAGATACGAATATTACTTATCAATAAAAGAATTATTACATGATTATTCTGTAATAAGATAGGAATTAACTTAAAAATTTTATTATAAATAGCTATTGAGATTTATTATGTAAAAGTAACTTTTTGAGATTAAAGTTTAAGAGAATAAACTTGCAATTCTTGAGAAGTCGCCTTATTATCTTGAATTTAATAAAGTTTTTGTTATAAAATATAAATCTTTAAATTGTTAATAAGTATTCTTGTACAAATAATATTTTTGAAGTTATAAATTTTAGCAGAACAAAAGCTTAATCTTCTTTATTAATATTCTTATTTAATTATTGTGTCAACATAGCATCTTTGATTAATTTGAAGTATTCTAAGAAGTTTTAAAGATTAAGTTAATAAAGTCTTCATATTTTCTGGCTTAGAAACTTGAATTGTGAAAGAATACTAAGACGAGATTCTGAAGAAGAACATATGACGTTCTTTTTTTACCTTTAATTTGAAAATTTAAGTAAAGACTCTTTTAAACAAACTTGAGTTTAAGCTAAATTCAGCTGTTATTCAATCAGTTAAGTGTTTCAGTTTGCCTAACTAACAGTTAGATAATAATAGTTATAATTATAAATTTTAATTACTGTTAACGTGTAATTTTGGTGGATTACAACCGTTAGACGTGATATTCGAGCGGTGATTCTTTTATAGTTTACATAATAATTTCCAAAGATTTATGCTAATCTCTATAGATTCAATAACAGTATATCGGGCTCAATCAGTTTGGTTTAGACGCAGACAGTTACAATCACAAGTTAATAGTTATCACGATGATTCAAGAAGAGTTTCGATAATAAGTAAATAATAATTTATTA